GTGACACAGGTGACACTCAGGTGACACTCAGGTGACATTTCCAGGGTGGCATGCTGGCTGTCCGCGAGAACCGTTACATCCATGGGTGACACTCAGGTGACATTGGTGACACTGAGGCTCACTCAGGTGACACTGAGGTGACAATGTCACTGTCCCCAGGGGGGCATGCTGGCTGTCCGCGAGAACCGTTACATCCATGGGTGACACTGAGGTGACACAGGTGACATTGGTGGCACTGAGGCTCACACAGGTGACACTGAGGCTCACTCAGGTGACACTGAGGTGACATTGGTGACACTCAGGTGACACTGAGGCTCACTCAGGTGACACTGAGGTGACATTGGTGACACTGAGGTGACATTGGTGACACTCAGGTGACACTCAGGCTCACTCAGGTGACATTGGTGACACTGAGGTGACATTTTCAGGGTGGCATGCTGGCCGTGCGTGAGAACCGCTACATCGTCCTGGCCAAGGATTTTGAGAAGGCGTACAAAACCGTCATCAAAAAGGACGAGCAGGAGCACGAGTTCTACAAGTGACACCTCGGGGACACCTTGGGGACACCTCGGGGACACCTCGGGGACACCTCGGGGACATCGGGAAAACCTCGGGGACATCGGAAAAAACCTTGGGGACATCCCTGGGGACACCCTGGGGATGTTTGAATAAAACTGAGACCGAATTGGGAGCGTTTGAGGATTTTTGGGGACATTGGGGACACCTTGGGGACACCTTGGGGACATCAGGAATAACCTTGGGGACACTTTGGGGACACTTTGGGGACATTCAAATAAAACTGAGACTAAACCGGGAGCGTTTGAGGATTTTTGGGGACATTGGGGACACCTCGGGGACACCTCGGGGACATCGGGGACATCGGGAAAAACCTCAGGGACATCTTGGGGACACCTTGGGGACATCGAGAAAAACCCTGGGGACGTCAGAAAAAACCTTGGGGACACCCTGGGGACGTTCGAATAAAACTGAGACCGAATTGGGAGCGTTTGAGGATTTTTGGGGACATTGGGGACACCTTGGGGACATCAGGAAAAGGCTTGGGGACATTGGGGACACCTCGGGGACACCTTGGGGACATCCCTGGGGACACCTTGGGGACATCAGGAATAACCTCAAGTACACTTTGGGGACACCTGGGGACACCTGGGGACACTTTGGGGACACCCTGGGGACACCCTGGGGACACCTTGGGGACACCTTGGGGACATCGGGAAAACCTCGGGGACATCAGAAGAATCTTGGGGACACCTCAGGGACACCTTGGGGACACTTTGGGGACACTTTGGGGACATTCGAATAAAACTGAGACCGAATTAGGGGCGTTTGAGGATTTTTGGGGACATTGGGGACACCTTGGGGACATCGGAAATAACCTTGGGGACACTTTGGGGACACCTCGGGGACACCTTGGGGACACTTTGGGGACACCTCGGGGACACCTTGGGGACACTTTGGGGACACTTTGGGGACATTCAAATAAAACTGAGACCGAACCGGGAGTTTGCGGATATTTGGGGACACTTTGGGGACATCGGGAAGAACCTCGGCATCTTGGGGACACCTTGGGGACACTTTGGGGACGTTTGAATAAAACTGAGACCGAATTGGGAGCGTTTGAGGATTTTTGGGGACACCTCGGGGACACCTTGGGGACACAGGGACACCTTTGGGGACATCAGGAAAAGGCTTGGGGACATTGGGGACACCTTGGGGACACTTTGGGGACACTTTGGGGACATTCAAATAAAACTGAGACCGAACCGGGAGAGTTTGAGGATTTTTGGGGACACTTTGGGGACACCTTGGGGACACTTTGGGGACATTTGAGTAAAACCAAGACCAAACCGGGAGCGTTTGAGGATTTTTGGGGACACTTTGGGGACACTTTGGGGACACTTTGGGGCTCATTTTTGGTGCATTTTGGGTCATTTCGAGCAAATTTTGAGTTATTTTGGGCAGATGTTGAAGCATTTGGAGCCAATTTTGGGGCATTTTGGGTCATTTGGGGCCGATTTTGGGTCATTTTGGGCCAATTTTGAGTAATTTTGGGTCATTTGGGGCCAATTTTGAGTAATTTTTATTTGATTTTGGGTCATTTGGGGCCAATTTTGGGTCATTTAGGGCCAATTTTGAGTAATTTTTATTCGATTTTGGGTCAATTTGGGCCGATTTGGGGTCATTTGGGGCCAATTTTGAGTAATTTTTATTCGATTTTGGGTCATTTTGAGTCTATTTGGGGTCATTTTTATTTGATTTTGGGTCATTTTGAGTCTATTTGGGGTCATTTTTATTTGATTTTGGGTCATTTTTTATTCGATTTTCAGTCATTTTGGGCCGCCTTTGAATCATTTAGGGCCGATTTGGGGTCATTTTTGTTCGATTTGGGGTCATTTTTATTCGATTTTGGCTCATTTTTATTCAATTTTGGGTCATTTTTGTCCGATTTTGAATAATTTTTATTCGATTTTGGCTCATTTTTATTCGATTTTGGCTCATTTTTATTCGATTTTGGGTCATTTTTGTCCGATTTTGGGTCATTTTTATTCGATTTTGGCTCATTTTTTATTCAATTTTGAGGCTTTTTGGGTCATTTTAGGCCGCGGCGCTCACGTGACCGGCCCGGCCCGTTGCCATGGCGACGCGCCCCAAACTCGCGCTTCTGATTGGCCGTCCCCCGTCACGTGACGGCGGAAAATCCGCGCTCC